ATAAAATTGGGCTATTCTGAATCTGTTCCGAATCAAGCGCTGTGTCTAAGATTTTTTTACTATTAAGTTTCACGTGAAGGAAGCTTTTCAAAACTCAAGTTAATAAAATCTTACTTAAGGTCCACAATGAGCCAAGCGCGGCTAAACAATCTTTCCGTTTTATCTATCGAAAATGACAAGAAAGTAAACTTTGATAATATATTAGAATATTTTAGCAAAATAAAGTCCCGTTAGCATGTATAGCATTTTTTGTTTTATTTTGGATGGTGCTTGATAGAAAACCGCCCTGGGTGTCAATCCACGCTACGCCGCCACTAGTTACCGTAAAGTTTGACAATGTAGCGAAGCAATAATGTAAACCAAATATTAAACGGAGTTTAATTATAACACTATTCCGCACTTTCCATATTGAAAAAAATACGCATTTAGTTTTCCAAGATGCTATATACACTAATAATATTCTCAAAATATTGTATCATGGACACTATATTAGAAAGAAATGCAACACCTAACTCGGTGCCTTTCATTCATTTCAAGATCACTGATTTAGGAACGTTTCTCCAGTATGAAGTGCGCACTCCCTATATTTTACAACCTCCTTGGTAAGCACATAGAGATATGTAGATACCTATATACTTCTAAGTCAGTGTGTAAGCATCATGTTCAGTTAGTCTCTTTGATACTCTATGATCATATTAGTCTGTGTACCACAGAGTACTTTTTTAATTAAAAAAGTTTTGGCGGGAACTTGACCGGCGGCGGTTTGCTGCTCCTGTATTATTGTTTAAATAATGGTTTGAAGTGGACTTTGATATGTAAAAGTGGCGCGATTTTGTGAATTAAGTGTCTGCGCATGTGAACTATTAGTAGGAAACTGTGAAACAAGTGCTCTGATGGTGATTTGATTCTCAAAATATGGTGTCTGTCTGCTTAGGCGACTTGAGATACCATCGCCAACCATCAGCTGTCTGCTGGTTCAAGTTGTCGTCAATCTCCCAAGGGCTGCACAATGTGACGCATCAACATATTGTGAAGCAGTATACTATTAAGGATAATTATAATATATTGTAACTTCAGGCTCAGAAGGGCTAGATCCCAGAGCCGTAAAGCTAGTTATTAAAAAAAATATATAGTGTGTACTGTGCTACTGTCATAGATTTAGTATATACTAAGATTGGCAATGTAAAAGAGAAAGGGCATAGCATATGCTTACGTTAGAACGAGATAGAATGGCTAGACCATACACGTACACACTATCAGCCTGTATCAGCCGGACGTCAGTGGTGAACAAAACAAATCCCGCTTATTTTCGCGATATTTTTGATTTTAAAGTATTAATAAGTATTTAAAAGGTGTGATTAAGTATGGTGACGTGTGCCGTACCTGAATGCAGTTCATCCAGAAAAGTAAATCCACAAAATTATACATTTCACATGTAAGTACAATTAAAATGTTTAGCACTCTAACTTCACTATTTCACAACTATAACAAATGTTTTATACACAAATGGACAGAGAAAAATATCGCATTTTATTACGATAATAATCTAAATGCGTGAGAACTATATTAAAAATAATAACAAATACGTGAATTCCCGCTATTTCTGATCAAATTTTTGTAGGGATTGACACTATCAATATCGTCTTATCGATAATATGTTTATAACAGGCAAAGGCATATCCTTGGATACAGCCTTTTGTGACTTCGTATTTTTTTTTAATTTTTAGTTTTTCGTAAAAGTAAATATTTACACATTATAGTAATACTTTAATGAGATGATTTATATTGTTTCAGATTTCCAAAAAATAATGAGGTTAAACAAAAATGGTTAAAAATGTTAAATAGAGAAGGATGGGTTCCCAAAAAAAATTCAACTATATGTAGCAAGCACTTTGAACAAAAATGTTTTTCTCATAGAAGTGCACAAAGAGTAAAGCTGCGTTCTGGATCAATACCTACATTATTTATGCCCGTGCGTAGTTTTTTAATTACTTATATATTTTACTGTACATATCTTAATTTCGTTTGCGCATGTTTAAATGTGTACAACTTGTTGTTGTCATTCTCGTTTTGTATATTTTTTTATAAAATGAAAGTAATAAAGAAACTTACAGTATCACTTGATGGTAAACGGCTACTGCAGTACATGGACACCTGCAGTCATCTTCAAATAAAGAAACCTACAAATGTGTTTTTACCCCTGAGGACTAAGATAAAATGTCTTACAGCCGAAAATTATACAGGCTCTCTATACTCAACAGGCCGAAACGCAGCAGTGTAAGCACTGCTGTTTAGCGGTAGTATAAGCTCTGCTATTTAGCGACAGAAATAGGTAAAAGGATGGTACTTTATTTTATTAATTTTAATCATAGATAAGTACATAATGTATGCACTAATTTTATTTGTTTGTTTGTAGGTTGTATTGAAACCGATACGCAAAGCATCCTCATATATCTACAGAGATATATTACCAGTACCCAGTAGTTCAACTGCAAACATTTCTGCTATAGACAATTCCCCGAGAAAGATAAAAATGAAAAAGACTATTGATATTCTTCGGAGAAGATTAGATATAAAACAAAAAAAACTGAAAAATGTAAGAGCACAAAAAAAACGGGCTGATGAAAAAGTGGGAAAGTTGTCTCAAGTGATAAAAAACTTAGAAAGGCTTCCCTCACTTCAAAATAACATTAGTGCTGTAATGGCATCTGGTCCAAATGATTTGTTGCAGCATCTCATCGAAAGAGTGATTAAGAAAAAACAAAATAAAAATATTAAACAAGAGTATGATACACAACTAAAGACATTTGCCCTAACTTTACACTTTTATAGTCCTCGGGCTTACAATTACATGAGAACTAAATTTGACCTGTGCCTACCACATCCTCGAACACTACGAGGCTGGTACCAAAATGTAGGTTGTAAGCCAGGTATCACTAAGGAAGCCATAGAAACCATAAAGGCTGTAAGTAAAGAAAAAAAAGATTTGGTCATCGCCCTTACGTTCGACGAAATGTCTATCCGTGAACACATTGAATTTGACGGTCGTAATCATCATGGCTATGTAGATGTGGGTAATGGTATTCATGGAGATCAAGTAGACAAGGCTAAAGAGGTATTAGTAATAATGGCAGTGGCAATTAATTCTTTTTGGAAAATTCCAATTGCTTATTTTTTTGGAAGAGGATTTACTGCTTTACAGAAAGCAACACTTCTAAAGCAGTGTATTGCTTCACTGTCAGATTTTGTAAAAGTTGCTTCTGTTACTTTTGATGGCATAGCATCTAATATAAATATGGCACAAATACTAGGAGCTAATTTGAGCACCGCTCCATTTAGACCATACTTTTACTATAGAGGGCAAAAATATTACGTAATATTAGATGCGTGTCATTTAATATTACGTAATATTTTGATAAGAAATACTTTTGCAGAATACAAAAATTTTTATCATCATAATGATATTATTAAATATGAATTTGTTGAAAATCTCTGCCAGCTTCAACATGATGCCGGTTTGCATTTGGCAAATAAGGTAACTAAAAAACATGTCAATTTTGTAAATCACAAAATGAATGTACGATTAGCGGCGCAACTGTTGAGTAATTCTGTTGCAACCAGCTTAGAGTTTTGCAAAGAAGTATTAAAATTACCTATGTTTGAAAATTGCCAAGCGACAGCAGGTTTTATAAAACATATAAACAGCATATTTGACATTTTCAACTCCAGAAATTTACTCAGCTACGGATTTAAGAAGGCCTTAAATGCAAATAATGTTGAAAATGTTGTAGCTGAATGTGACAAAGTGTGTGAATTTATTAAAAATTTAAAATACAACAACCAAGCTTTGATAGAGTCGAAGAAAACTTGGTTTTATCGGTTTTTTGGCGAATACGATAGCTTTGAAGTGGCTATATGTCGATTTCATAGAGTCAGGAAAATTAAAGTTTCTTCCGACCTATAAACTCTCCCAAGATCATATAGAATTTTTTTTTAGTGCAGTACGTTCTAGAGGAGGATTTAACAACAATCCAACAGCCAGACAATTCACAGCAGCATACAAACGATTAATCTGCCACGTGGAAGTACAAATCAGCGATAAAGCCAATTGTTTGCCTTTGGAGAATATTAGTATGCTCAACATACAAAAATCGTGTACTATAGATATAATAAATACTACAACTGGCCTTAGTGCTATGACGATGCCAAACGACGATGCGGCTATTGGCCCAGGCCAAATAGATAATGAAGATTCTGATTTCGTATCATCTATGCCATGGATACCTGAAGGCATGGAATCTGTAGTTAAGTCCATTGTTCAGTACATATGTGGTTACGTGGTAAAAAAAATCGCAAATAAAATTAAATGCGAATCCTGTGTAAATGTACTTTACGGTGAAGTTAAGGAAGGTTCACTAATAAACATGAAAGACGTAGGTGGCCTCGTGTATCCCTCTCAAGACGTTTATGAGATAGGTGTCTTTTCTGAACGAGTTTTCCGAAAACACGTGAAAGGAAAAATTGTAAACGAAAATATATTTAAAAAATTAGTAAACGAATGCCTTGTGTCCTGCAAACATTTTTTTAACACACTTGACATACATATGTACGATTCGCCAGCATTATCAAACCATAAACACTTAATTATTAAATCAATAATTGAAACTTATTTGGTTATCAGATTAAAGTATGAAGCAAAATTGCAAAATACCTCCAAGGAGAGCTTACGACATTTTTACAATAAGTTAGTTATTTTTGGTGGAAAATAAAAATCACAAACTTTTTGTTTGTAGTTTTATTTTTATGCCCTCAAACATAATATTCATTTTATGACACAGACACAGCTTTCTGTATCGATAATTAAAGTTGATACATGGCGCAGCACTACTGTTGTCGCACACATGCACATTTCACTCACACGGCTACATTTCGTTTTTGGTCTCACCCTAATCACGCCATTGCCAATCTAAATGAATACTATATCTATGGCTACTGTGTACACATGTCAACAATTATGACTGATAACAACAATAACCAACAAATTCCTATTATTCAATTGTTCAGTTATGCCTAAAAAATAGACTGAAAAGGTGAAAAGTTCGTTCAAGACACAATAACAATAATCGAACACAGAGTGTATACGTATATACATTTATTTCGGAATTTTACGTTTAATTCAAGATAATATGATACACCAAAAATAGCAAAGCCACAGGATATGAGCTTTTTATTTTTATAACCTACAACTTAATTAAAAACCCTTAAACAATTTAATAAGGGCGATCTCCAACCATTTAGTATTTTCCAGTTCATCATTTTACAAAATGGTATGCATATAATGTTATTTATATTTTTAAATTATTAGTATTATATTTTATACTACTAAAGCAATATAAATTTACTATTGAAAAATTTTTAATCTTTGTTTTTTTTTTGTTTAATACAGTAAGTTGCAATGTGGTCATCTACTTTAGGCTGGCTTTTCACTATGGGATACAATATATATTACATCCCGAAATATAAATTATATCCCGCGATTGGCTTTCACACTGTGAGATATATATTTTAACCAGTGTACGTTCGTCATTGGTCATTAGATTACCCCCCTGTACCCCGTAAACCGTTTTGCGGGGGCGCGGAACGGTATGCGGGTACAGGGGGCGAAATATAATATGAAAATATTGCTCGGTCGATTGAAAAAATATTTATAGCTTGAGATGTAATATATATTATAGCTAAGTGTAAATGGTTCCATTTGAAATGTATTGTGAGCGATATTAATTTATATCTCGAGATGTAATATATATTACATTATATCCCATAGTGAAAAGCGGGCTTTACTAATAAAATTAAATAATGTTCAGTTTTGTTTCAATTTCATTGGATTATAATGTTTTTAGAGAGATAAATGCTATCTGCCTTTGTATAACCCAAATAATCTCAGATCTTAAAATTATAAATATACTGGTGATTTGCCTATGCTTAATAGACAAAATGATTCATTTAAAAACTAATAGCTAACTAAGATGCAATCAGTAACATATAACACCTGAACTGGTTATGACATCAGTGCAATCCTTATCTACATCTGTTAAGAGGATGGCTTTTTTTGCAGGCAGATTGGTGGCAAGTAGTTTGATGCTGTTTGACCTGTAAACTACTCCAACCAGTAACATGGGGTATGTTACTGGTTGGAGTAGTTTACAGGTGGCATAAATAAGGTGGTTATACCAGCCATAATATCTGTAACTTACCATGGTGTTATATATTCTATTGCACCATCATCACAAGGCCAATTTAATCCTAAATTATTTTGCAAAAAGAAATTGTAATTTTTAACCAAAACGATAATGTTGTGTTTTATGTTGATTTTATAACACTATACTACATCCAACATTTTTTTAATAACTTATTTCATTTGTATGTTATGTGTTTTAAAATGATTTCCAATTTTATTTCTGACAATATAAATACCACATCACCACTTTGTACATTGTGCTACCTATAAAAATACAGACATATAATTAATTCTAATGTTTGATTTATTTTTATCAAAAGCTGCAGTTCTCTGCTCAACTTAGCCCCTCAATTCCCATTAAATTGGTGGCTGGTATTGTAAATTTCTTCCCTGTGCTGCTTCATGTGTACCTGTCAAAATTAGGAATTCTTTGGTTTTTTATATTGTCGAAGAGACCAATGAGCTGTCCACCTAGTGACTTTGCTTCTGCATACAACTCCAATAAATCTTCAGAGGCATTGTTAGACCTTTAAAATCAAATACCTCATAGTCTACAATTATACTGTCTATTTTCTGCCAACTTCCAAAAAGGATATGGTACTCAATTCGACGCGTATGTTTTTTTCAATGTGTGTTACCTAATAACTTTTTACTGGGTGAACCGATTTGGATGATTCTTTTTTATATGAAAGCTGATACTTCTCGTGTGGTCCCATATTAATTTGATCAAGGTCAGACCAATAGTGTTTGAGTTATTCTTAATAAATTATATTGAAGTCGGCTGTACAACATTTTTAATTATATCATTCATAACAAAACACAACAATAGGTTACATTGCTGCTTTGAGGTAGAAATAGGTAAGAGGATGGTGTACTCCCAGGTAGAAAAGTAGCCCTACCTCAATCGGAAAAGATTGAGGTAGGGCTACGTTTATCATGTTTGGCTGTTACATAAAATTTATCATGAAAGTGAAATATTACTCATATATTTTTTTTTGCAGGCCAGAAATGCTGAAAAAGCTATGTAAGTATTTATTATTTGATTACTTTTGGATTATGGTGATGAGTGTTATTAATGGTTGATGAGTTTTGGTTAATAGTGAACAACAGCGCAATTGTGTAACTCTGGTGGGAATTATGGTTGACTTAAACTCTATTTCCTTTTTTATTGAAATCTTTTTTAGGTCACAAGTTATATCATAATTTAAAAGATAATACAATTGTGGAGTGATTCCCACTGTTAAATGATTCCTACCAGTTACAGAATCCCGATGCTGGTTTTATACATTATTTTTTTGTTATACAAGTTTTATTGATCACCCTGTAAAAACATGTAAAATCCTACTGCAGGCCATAACCCATTGTAAGAAGAATTTACTAGGACCTGTTTCTTTCACATCTGGTGTAAACAAAATAGTTTTTTTTTATAGGATCGAGTGACAAACGAGCACACAGTCCACCTGATGGTAAGTGGTTACTGTGACCCATTGACACCTACATCTATCCTCAATAAAGACTCAAGATGCAGATGTGTTGTCACCCGTGAGGACTAAGATGGAATGCCTCTTTGCCAGTAAAAAGGGTCTCCAGTTCTCTACACTCACCATACGAAACACAGCAGCGTTAAGCTGCTATTTTACGCTGGTTTTCAGTGAGAGCGTGGTCCTTCCCCGGTCGAGCCGACCCATTCGTGCTACAACCATAATATAGCTGCAGCATGGCTCTACCACGTAGATAAACACTCCTCGTCACACTCATGTTACATAAAACCTCCATAAAATCTTTTTGACATTTCTCATAGTAGCCTCTTAAGATATCCAGGGGTCTAAATGGTGTGATGGAATCACCTACTCCTCAAGCAATGGTATAATGCCTTACTCAAGCAAATTTGGCCACTATCAAGAAATTTATTTACACTAAATATTAATACAAAAGTCTAGGTTTTTTTTCTTGTGGTTAGTTAGCTATGTCACGTCTTTCAGGTTATATAGCTTTGTCGCGAGTTTTACGTTCGAATTTAAGCCACACCTAAATTTGTCCAGTAATACAAATTGTTGATTTTCGGCTCTGGTTGTGTTGGCTACATGTCTCTGTAATTACATTCTAGCTTATCTACGTCCTAATGTAACTTTACATTAAATATGTAAAGGTTAGGTCCTACGGGTGCCCTGGCGCTATTGAGTACACTTGTAGAATATTATGGCTTACTGAATTGTTAACTTCCGATAGTATTCAGAAGCTGACACCGTGGTTAAAATTGACAAGGATGATATGATCGTCGTCAAACCACTTGCTAAGTGTGACGTTATAGACAAATCCCCTCTACTGCTCTGCAGTGATGAAGGCCCATGTCCAGCTTTATACTTTTACGAGCGGATGAAAAAAATAAAATTTCTTTTACTTTATATAATTTATCAGGACGACACTGGCGCGATGGCGTGCAGCACAGGTACAGGAGGCAGGTGGGCAGCGAGAGCGGCGACCCTACCTCGCGTCCGAGTGCAATGATCTACAGCAGGCCGAGAAATGGCGGCTGCAAATCGTGAGGGAGATCGCTAAAAAGGTCGCACAGATACAAAATGGTGAGAAACATTATAGTAATAATAGCTATTCACTTTACTTCCTCTCACATATTTACATTGACTTATTCTTTATTCTATATTATTCGTATAGACTATAGATATGTAATACAATAACTTAAATAGAATTTAAAAAGGTAAATCCTCCCAAACAGTAGAGATGACTATGACTTTTGTAGACTGATTAAAATGGAGATAAAAATACAAGAATTATGAGTTATGAGAAGTATGTTTCAGCACTAGGAAAGACCTGTGCGACTATATTATATACTCATGGACAATGTAGTGGGACACAAAAAAGTAAGGTTTATTTCTCCTGTTGTAATTATCGTGCGTAAATAAAAAATACAAATTTAGTAAGTGCTATTAATAAAAGAAATATGGATTTTTTTATCGAATTTCAATAGATATTATATAATTATTGCATAATATTATGTTCTTTTACACTGCGAAAAAAAATGCCAACTTTTGAATTTGAGTTTAAAATTAGGTTTTGTTTAAATGTTTCCCTTGACTGACTTGTTTATCGTGTCAAGTGTGAATTGTTACTGTAAAGAAACTGAGAATGCTAGATCTAAACACCACTGAAGTTACTAGGACTGTTACTGGAATACTTTGGGCAGAGATAACCGTTCATCATTACCAGCATGCTTAGAAACCGGACATTAACTACTTCTAAGGTAAGACCGAAGCTTCAAGAAGTTCGAGGATTACATTAAGCACAACAACTGTGAGAAAAAGATTGAAATCTGAAGCCAGATGATGGGATAATGGAGACGTCCGGGAAAGAGGCACGCTCTGTACGACATCATTTGAAAATAGGCATTTGGTGGAAGGTCAGTTACGGTATGGGCAGGTATTTACCATTTTCCCCTTTTATAGGTGATAGATTTGTTTTTATGCATGATAATGCATCTGCGGACGTGGTTGTCGAATATCTTCGAGACGCGGCCATAAATGCTACGGAGTGCCCAGCGCGCTCGCCCGATATGAACCCCATAAATTAAGGAAAGAAATCCTGCCCCGCTAATTTGAGAAATTTCATTGATAACTTGATTAGAATTATGCCAATGAGATTGGAAGTATTCCGAAGGGCTAGAGGGGGCAATACTAAGTGCCGTTAGTAGCCCATGTTTGTAACCTTTACTAAGCATTTATAAAAAAAAATACAAAATGTTTCTTTTTTGTAACACTTTAAATTTTTTCTTAAATTGGTTAATTTTTGTCATTTGATCGTTTGTTTTTTCGACGTTTGCAATTATTAAATTAAAAAATAATAAGCAAAATTCAAATTAATAAACTTAATTGTCGTAGTAAATTATGTAAAGTGTATAATGTCCTCTGACCTTGTGTCTGCAACATATCACCAGTGCGAGCGTAACGCCGCTGTGCTCACCAAGCATAGAGTGTGATGAGTATATAATCTATACATATAATAAATCTGTAGAAAAGTCGTGTCTGTAATTCTAATATATTCTTGAAAAAACAAGTGCAGGGTACTAAATAAAGGGTTCTGAAGCCAAATTAGTGGTTTTTAGAATTTTTGTCTGTCTGTCTGTCTGTCTGTCTTTCTGTCTGTCTGTGTATTCCGGATTCACGCAAAAACTACTGAACGGATTTACATGAAATTTTGTATGTAGGTAGTCAGTAACCCGGGGCAACTTATAGGCCTAATTTTTATCCGATTACGGAACTTCAAAAAAGGTAGGTTAAGTATATTAATTTCCTTTAGATGTTAATTTTCTGTTGTATCTTATTTATAGGCGGAATGACGGGTGTTTTTCAAATAAATATCATATTACCATATTTGTAAATATAGTTAAAAATATAGTTATAATCTTGGTAAAATAATTTGAAATACACCGATTTCATATTCAAAACAGCGCCATCTATCATCAAATGGAAAAAGTTGTATATTTTGCCTTCAGTTACTAATAAATGAAATAATATAAATAACTTACATTTATATGATTAAATTATTAGATTTTTAAAATTATTAAAAAATTGTAACGTTCATTTTTTTTTCGTATTTTTGTTATTTTATTTTAAGTGTAATAATTTCAATAGATAATAGTGATGTCTATCAAAAATATGAAAATTGATAAGGTATTTATTTCAATTATTACTAATATATATGTAAAGTGATAAAAACTGGTCTGTCTGCACTTGTTGCAGAATTTTCATTATCATCATAGTTTTATTTAAAGAGTTTTTCATGTATGTCGTGGTCAGATCGTAGAATTGATCATATATCATAAAGTAGTCTATCATTTCGTGAAAACACTGAAAAAATGACTGAAATGAATGTGTATTTAACACTATTTGCTGACCGTGTCATGATATAGCTTGACTAAATCAATGAATAGAAATCTTTTGAAGTTATTGGTAACTAAACACAACGTTGCTATTTCATAATATGGTCATATGACGATATCATTATCATTTTTCACCGCTAGCGGCGCTGATAGCTTATTTTTAACAGGAACAGAACTTTTAAGAGAATTGACATCACTTTATACCTTATTGATATAATAAATAAATGTTCGTTTCTATTGCTGATATTACGAGATGGTATAGTTTTGGCTTTCATTATTTCATGTAATATTAGCGCCACCTGCTTACTTCTAAATAAATTAAAGTGACAAGACATTGATAAAATGAAATAATACAATGCTACTGAATATACGACGTAAATAATTGAATCATTTACATTACGTTCATCCCGCGTTGGAATCAGTGCAGCGAACTCTTTTTTGGCCAAAAAATCTACAGCCTGTGCCCAGTAGTAGCATGTATGTAAGCTGCTTTTTTTACTTTTTATGGGGCAATATATGCAGTTTCTATTTTCATTCGTGTTTTCGGGTATGATAATTTATGTTTTCACTCTACCGTAAATATTAAGGCTTACAAAGATGAGTAGAACTCATTATCGTCAGCCTATCAAAAGTCCACTGAAATGAACATAGGCCTCCCCCATAAATTGTCAAGTAGCTGGATATTTGCTATAGTGGCGGGTTGGCAACCGCAGCTATTATTATTTTGATCTGTTTTCAAGAAGATGATGCAGATCTTCCCATCTACTGTTTTTTTCCTATGTCGCCTCTTACGACGGGACGATATGATGTGTTGGATTTTCTTTCACCGCCACAACAGTGCGAACATTTTTCTACTCCCGTTCATGAGTGTAGTGTTCCTCACGTTCACTGTGTATAAAATTTATAAGGAATAAAAGTAATTTTAAGAATTTTATCGCGTTTAATTTTAACTTTTTAAATTCCCGATGGTTTGGGCAATTTATAGCACCCATGGTCACGGGAGGGGTGGGAGAACTGAGGTGTTTGATAACCTGATGTCATAGTTAAAATAGAATAGTAAAAATGCAGTAGTAGTTTGAATTTAATTTTATTAATCATGGAGTCCTTAGCAGATAGTAGCACTTAGCCATCTTCCCTATTTAAATTAGGATATTTTTAATTTCAATAGCCTCGCGAAACATCATTGCTAGGATTCGGTGGTTTATTGCAAGAATTTGTTGTATATAATGGTTGGGACGATACTAAACATGTTTACATACTTTAGACTTCCCGGAGCTTCGGTGCTTTCATTCGGTGAGGAGTCAAGATGCGTAAAAAACCCGTAACATTAGTTTTAATCCATGTGTGGTATTCATTATTATAGAACTGTATTTATGAAATTTTCAAGTCTACTCGAAGTAAATAAAAATATCTATATCTTTTTATGGTGCCAATCAATATTAAATAGGACCAATGATATAAATAAAATGTCTCAAATAAACATTATATTACTTTGTTAAAACTAAATTTACTTTAACTATGAATATATATATGTAAAGAGTAAAATGTAAGTAATAATAATACTTTTTGATTTCAAGACTATTTTTTTATGGATACATCGGAATCGGAAGACACGCCATATATAAAAATAGTAGGAGTTTCTAGACATATTATAAGTATATTCACGAGTTTCTGTAGCATGTTACCAATCATCTACGTCTAATAGTATTTTAGAATGAAAAAAATCTCTGATAGACATAGAGACATAGACACCAAGGTGACTCTAAAAGTGATCGAATATTTCTAAATTTGACACGGAACAGCATTTAATGATGTCCCTAAATTCAAGCGCACGCGAGCGAAGCCGCGAGTAAAAAGCTAGTATATAATATATTAATATATCACAAGTGATGTTGTATGGTATTCGCATTCTTATTAAGTACTAAATACTGCTGAGGATCAAGAAAGACAAATTTTACAAATTATAGAACAATTAATAGAATCAGGTGTTACTGTGCATAAGTATTAAGATTTTAAACATTAATGACTTAGCGATTAGCCATCGCAAAGTCTACTTCACCTAATGATGCCTTGTTTAAAAGTGAAACGCGTATTGTATTATCGACCGTGGTGTGTCTTTCCTAGTGTAGAAGTGTCGGGATTAGGGGAAAGTGATAGTGCACGTAATTGAGGGCAATTGAATGTAATTATTGTGCACATCAAACATTACAGTTGTCGGAATAAAATAGTTCAATTGTTTCTATTTTATATTCAGTCAGGTTACAATTTATTTGATGGACAATTTTTATTTGACAATCGGCCCTAAAATAAATTACAGTTACCGTTACAGCCTATTAAAATCCAGTGCTGTACGTTTTTGCCATAGTTGCCACGTTTAGCAAGTGGGTTGGCAACCGAAGTTTATTTTTAATTTTTACCCGTTATTAATAAGGACGCTGCTACCTAACTCCTGATTATTAGTTTCCCTCTGTCGTCTCTTACGACACCCACGGGATTATATGGGGTGGTGGATATGATGGCCACTACACGGCAAAAAATAAATTATTCGGCAAATAACTGTTGTTTATCGTTTTCATTTTATTAATAGCAATGAAAAAAAAATCTTTACATTCCGCTCAAGTAAGTCTAACAATTATAAATATTAACAGGTGTTTGTGTTTTTTTTATAATCTTCGTTTAAATGTATTT